ATTTTGAAGGGACACAATCTTAACTGCTATATACCAAATAATCCAAATCCTTTTCGAGTAATAAACTTTGAGAGTCCTTGCCGAAAATTACTCAAAGACTACCCCACAACTCATATCATCTCCATCTTACCACTCAAAATATTCGAGAGTTCGGCCTTTGTTCACAACCACAACTAAAATAAAAGCAAACTGTATCATAGAGCCATTAAATGTATTTTTCTAGGTTACTCCTTTAACAAAAAGGTCATAAATGTTACTCACCAATTATACAGAAATTTTACACCTCCATGGATGTAACATTTTTTGAAACCCATCCTTATTTCACCCAAAATTCCTTTCAAGGGGAGAACATACAGAATGAATGCAATTTTTGATACCTCACAACAACCACGACTGAGTCAGAATACCCAAATAATACCCAAACCTAACCCACTGAACCAACTTTTTCTCCTGAATCACCTCAACTTCAGACTGAACATGAAAGGGGCTACATGTTTATGCAAGGAGGAGTAGGCCTCAAGAGGTGATAGAGATCCCAAATCTTCCTGAGCAAAGTCGTGAATCTAAACCTATTTCAGGAAATTCAGGTAACAAAGTTGTTGATGAACACACTGACAATGATCTTGATATGCCCACTGCCATAAGGGTATTCGTGAATGCACAAAAAACTCTATTTACAACTTTGTATCTTATGCTGGCTTATCTCCAATATTCAGAGCTTTTACTACTGATCTGGTTGACGTTGAATTTCCACAAAATATCCATACAGCTCTTAGCAAACAAGAATGGAGAGAGTCTGTTGAAATTGAAGTAGAAGCACTTGAAAAGAATGACACTTGGGAGCTTACAAATCTTCCACAAGGAAAATGTTAAGTTGGTTGCAAGTGGATATTCATTGTCAAAATTAATATGGATGGAAGTCTAAACTGCTACAAAAGCAAGACTTGTTGCCAAGGGATTTACTCAAACCTATGGAAGCAATTATGAATAAACGTTTGCATCAGTTGCTATGCTCAACACTATTCAAGTTTTACTCTGCTTTAACCACTTATAAGAATTGGACATTGCACTAATTCAATGTCAAGAATGCATTCCTTTATGGGGATTTAGAAGAAGAAGCATTTATGAAAATCCCACAAGCCTGGAAACAAAAGCTAATGTAAAGAATGTATGTGGTTTTCAAAAGTCATTCTATGGACTCAAACAATCTCCACGGATGTAGGTTGACTGGTTCATAAAAGTGGTTAAGGGACTAGGATATTCTCAAAGACTGTCTAATCATACACTGTTTATGAACTTTTTAGATGGTGGAGAGGTGGCAATTCTCATTGTGTATATTCTGTGATTGGGACTTTGAGGAAGAATTACACAAACTAAAGGAGATCCTAGCAAGAGACTTTGAAATCAAGAACCTTGGGAATCTAAAATATTTTCTTGCTATGGAGATAGCCCAGTCTGGTACCCTAGGTGTAAGCCTATGGATACTCTGATGGATCCAAACCAGAAACTCAGGATTAATAAAAATAGTCCTCCAATTGAGACAGGAAGATACCAATGCCTTGTTGGGAACTCATCTATCTTTCACATGCACAACCTGATTTAACATTCTCAGTGAGTGTAGTGAGTCAATTCATGAACAAACCCGATCAAGAACATCTTGAAGGAGTATACAGAATCCTTCACTTCTTAAAGATGACCATGGGGAAGGGAATTTTCTTCGGAAAGGGATAAATCAAAAGGTGGAAGTTTTTGCAGATGTAGACTTGACAGATTTGGTCATTGATAGAAGATTCACAACTGGTTACTGTACATACGTATGGGGCAATTTTGTCATGTGACAAAGTAAGAAACCATTAGTTGTTGCAAGAAATAGTGAAGAAGTAGAATTCTGAGAAACAGATTACTTAAAAACTCAAAGTTCTTATAGAAGAACCAATATTGGTGTTCTGATACAACCAAGCAGCTATGACATTGTAGACCTTGTCATCACGACAGGACCAAGCATGTGGAACTTGATCGACACTTTATCAAGGAAAAAGTTGAAGAATGGATCCTGGCTTTGAATCGTGTATCAACTCATCAACAAGTGGCTGATATCCTTACGAGAGGACTTGCAAGAATAAAGTTTGAGGAGCTGAATTCCAAACTTGGAATGATTAACCCCTATTCCAAGCTTGAAAGGTGTTGAAGGATCTGGAATCATTGTAATTTAGTTCTAATTTTTATTGTAAGAAATTGAAATAAAATCTAATCATATCAGACTTTATTCATAGGAATGATGTCTGATTATATCAGACTTTATTCGTAGGAACAAAATATGATCATATGAGTCCTTTTATTAGGCTGTTTAAATAAGATTCCCAAATTTATAGGAATCGGTTTTAACTTTTCTATTTTTGTTGCTTTATCAAATCTATGATGATTTGCTGATTCCTGCCTATAAATAGGCCTGGATTGTACTTAGTAGAATCAGAAAAATAGGAGACTTATTTTCCCTTGTTTCTCTCAATAATATTCAAATTCTTTAGGAAAGATCTTTGGATTAGTGATAGTCCTTTAGCCAACAGATTTCCTCATTTGGATAACATCTTCTCATGCTATAATGTGCCTATTTCAAAAAAAAATTCTTAACCATGTGGAATGAAATAAATTATGGAATTCACATTTTTCAGAAACCTAAATTATTGGGAGACCATTGACATATTAGTTCTGATAAGCTTATTGGAGAACTTACATTATTCTCACTAGAATGATAGCAAGATTTGGACCTTAGACTTCTTAGGAATTTTTGCTTGTAAATTTCTTTTTACCATAATGGATAATACCCTAGATGCTATACTGCTTCTTTTATCAATGTATATCGGAAAGTAAAATGTCCATTTTAAGGTTGAGGTTTTTTGTCTGGACTAATTTTCTCAGCAGGCTTAATACTAATGCATTGTTGTAAGTTCGTAGGTCTAATCATGCTCTCTTGCCATGTATTTGTATTGTGTTTCAGAAAGGGAGAGACTCTTGATCACTTGTTTTTTTGCTATAACATGGCTTAGGAGTTGCAAACTAGGCTATTTGATACTCTAAGGTTCGTGCAGGTTGCTCCCTGTTCACTGGAGTGCTTTATGAGGTCGAATCTGTACTGGGTAGGGGTGAGAAAGGATGCTAAAACCCTTTTGAGAGGAGCATTCTTTGCAGTTTGTAGATGCTGTGGTTTGAGTGAAATCACAAAATTTTTGAAGACCAATTATTCTATTTTCAATTTTTGTGGAAAAGGAAGATCTTTTTGTCCACTCTACCGGCTACAGTTCATGGTTATTTTATAGATGTTGCTGCTTCTGCATCATGTAGAAATTGGGGGGCAATATTGATTTTTTTTTTTTTTTTTGCTATTTTGACCTTCTGAATTTAAGAGGTGTTAGGAGGATATCTTAACCTGCGTTTTTGTATTTTCTCTCCTCTTTTCTTCAATAATGCTTTTTCTTCTATTAAAAAAAAATTGCCGGAATCATTTGAAGAATTGATTACAGAGTCTGTGGCCTTAAATAGCATGGCTTCCATGAATTAGATGCCTATGCGAGATACAAGACTTTGAGTGGCCATTTCTTGGTAGATTTTACTTTTTTAGCACATATTGACAGCTTAAAGGAAAAATACTATGCAGAAAATGACCTCCTATTGTTATTATTTTCTTATACTTCTCTTAAGTTCATAAAAAGTCTGAAGCCATTTCTTCGAAGCCCACACAAACTCATCCTTTGAAAACATATCCTACCAGAATACCATAATCAGATAGAGTCCTGTCCTTTTCTACCTCAAGTCCAGCCCAAGGTCTTATGTACTTGCACAGGAGGAAACAATGCCTTTTGAATGGATTAAAGAAATTCTTGAACTTCAGTCAGTTTACGAGCTCCATCAGCTTTGTCTTGTACTGGTCAATGACTTCAATTATTTTATAGTTTGATAAATATACTAACTCTTTAAGATACAACTTTTTTAGTTCACTTTTTCTTTTTTTATTGTTTTTTTATTATTATTATTAGTAGTAGCATTGATTTAAATCTACCATGACTCACAATTATTATCATTATAACTTAAGAGAAGTATAAGAAAATAATAACAAGAATAGTAATAATGATAATAATTTTGAGCCATGAGTAGATTCTGTAATTTTGTTGCATTTAATAGTCCTGTGGAAGCTACTAGTTTATTGACAGAAAATGACCTCCTAAGTTACGTGCTTCTTCCAAGCCACTAGCCAGCAACATTGACATATAAATATAAGTTGTGTTTTCAGCTGTTAGATATTAATATATCTTTTATTGTATACATGTGACTTAACTTGCACAATTAGATCTTGAAAAGTTGCTTGTTTGGCTTTTTTCATAAAATATTTTGCTTTAAATATGATGCTTTATAGCCAGACCGTTTATTGTAGAATACCCATTTCTTAGATGTTTGGTTTAGCTGGGGAAATTTTTCAACTAAACAATCTGAATCTCCTAAAAGGGATCTAATTCTACTTCATCGCACTTCACACCTCAAATAATTGATAATTCAATCAATTTTTTTGGTGCAAAATAGAGGATATCTCTTGACTGGGGAGAGAATGAGGAAATCTTATATGGCCATGTTCTGAAAGGTACTTCTGGCACACCAAGAAGCATAAGGGTACTTTTGGGAATACAAATCCCCTAGAGACATGATAGAGCTTGTTGCTCAGAGGATAGGATTACATGGTTACAAACCATGACGCAGGGGTTTGAATCCTTCCTCACCCACAACCAGCATAAAAAAGGATCTTACTCGTTGGTTAGGAAAATCATGATTGAGATAACGGATTTAAAGCTACAGAACTTGAGTGATTCTCTTATTGAAATAATATGGCCTTAGATTTTATCTTAATTAGAGTAATTATTTATAGGTAATAGTTTTCACCATATAGTATTCATATTTCTAGTCTAAACCAATGTATTTTTTATATACCTTGTGATTTCTCCTCAAAATGGCGTGGTAAGAACAACCTAACAAGTACAAGTATTAGTAGCATTGTGAAAACACTTCCCCCAAATTGATATATTTCCTTATAGTAATTGTTACCTCTTGAGAGGATTGATGACTACATTTTGATGCACTTGTTAATGCTATTGCATTATAAATTTTTAATTGGATAGTTGTAAATAGTCCCAAAACTAGGGAATAAAAGATTATCCTAAACGTACACAGGGTACTTGCCTGTGATTCTCAAATAACGTGATTCATTGAGATGGAAGGCACAAAAACAAGAACATGAGAAGAGGGTTACCTACTTTTAATACTTAAATGAATCGTATTCTAAATTCTTTAATAGATAGTGAATCAAATTTTTCCAAGTAAAATTTATGCCTATGACTAATCAGTTAACAACCAAGCACTATACTACAGAGTTATTAAAAAACAACAGGAGATAAAAGGATTTAATGAAAAAGAAAATTCAAAACTATGGATGTAACATGATATTCTTCCAAGACAAGTGAAGCTACCATATTGTTTTTGAGGAAGAAGCGAACATATATTTAATCTGCCGTCCATTGGATTTTTGAAAACTGAGTCACAAAGAGAAACTTTGCTACTAATAGGATACAAATGTAATTGTGAATAAACAAAAGTGATCATGAATTGTGGTTGCAGAATGCAGCTATGCTATGCTGATGCTGTCATGAATCATAGTTACAGGCTGCAACTTGCTGGAAGTTACAAAAACTTATTGGTAAATACATAAGATGGCTACTTATTAGAAGATGCTTGTGACAGTGTCTTGATGGCAGGGTTTTGTGAAGCAATGATGGAGCCAGAGGAATCTGGAAATGGGAGATGAACATATATTTATCTGTCATGAATATGTGCATGTATTTATCTTTTACCTGCACTTACACATGCATGTATTTTAATGCATCTGTTCCTAACATATATAACTATTGCATTTTGTATTCATAAATAATTGTTATCTAATAAAGTCTCAAATTTTAGTAAAACCACATTTTACCACACTAATTGTTATTTAATAGTTTTCAAATTACATAATAATTTTAGTCTCTTTAGTAAATTTTCTAATTTTTAGATCATATGGTAGATAAATAAATTTGACGAATTGAATGAATCATAATGATGGGCAATGTATGGCCCCCTTCAGCTGTATATCTCTACTTCTATTGCATGAAGCCGTCCAGTAAGGTGAAGGAAGGCATATATTCTCTAGTAATGATGCAGAAATAAGTTTAAACCGATGTGTAGTTTAGTTGAGATATTGGAGTAATTCTGATGAGATTCATAACTTTGTTGATTAAGTTTTGAAGGAACTTATTTGCAGATATAAGTTTATGCCATTACTGTTGCAGGTTGCTGAGAGTGCATCATGTAAAAAGCAATAAAAGTTGCTTGCCACGCGTGAAATGGAGAGAATAAATAAAGTGAATGTTTGATAGGCAATGTTGATGGTTGGAATATTCTGAAAAGAACATCTCAAATGTCAAGCAAGCCATAAATTACAGTTCTCTAGGAGTGAACATGTTGTGTGTCATGCACAAACTATTGGTTAGTGTTAAAAACACTGCTACTGATTCTTGAAGTCTGTGAAAACTCACATAGCCATTAAATGATCATAAAATTACAGTTTTTGCTTCTATATTCAGTGATGTGTTTGCTTCTCCTCTCTACAGGACTTGTGTTAAGAAACTTTTTATGGGCTTTCGTGGAGAGACGTTTTTATTTAATGGGTTTTTACTTTTAGGAAATCTAGAGCTGTGATGTAGGGGGTGTAGGTTGTAGCATCAATTGATGATTGGTAGCACAGAGACATTGGTTGGAGTGATGCTGTTGTTTTTACTGATTTGGAACAAATACAGGACAATCATATATGCAAATTGACAGTTGCCAGATGGGTTTACATGCATGATGAACTGTGTATCTGAAGAACTGGGTGTCTGAACTTGGGCAGGAACAGTGTGTAAGCAAGGAAGCAAGAAGGAGCAGCAACCCCCCTTGCCCTCAAGCCAAAAGTACACATTTTTAACTTTCCCCATAATTTTCTACAATGGGTTTAACAGTCTCTGCTTGCTTCTATTGTTTCTCTGTTCACCTTAAAAGAAATTCTTTTTCTTTTGGATTTTCTAATTTGTTTTTATGGGCTTGGTTTCTTGATAACAAGGGACTCTTACATTATAATCACTATTCTTGAAGCCTGAAAATATCATGAGATTCTGATGATCTTTTTTGCAAATTTTTTGCAGGGTTTTTTTGTTTTTGACAGCTAAAAAAGAGAATGTGAATGTTCAGTTATACAGATTTACACACCCCGGTATAGGTAAATGTGACCTACACTTTTCAAGAAGCACATTTTTCTTTTCATAGATTTGGATGGAATTTGGCTACAAAAAGGGGTCTGGACAAAATCTTTAAAAGAATCTGACCCTCACCTACATACCTAACTGCCTACTTCTCTCTTTTTCACTTCCCTATCCTTCTCCCCAATGAAATTTTGGACCCAAATCATTTTTCTTTAAAGCTTTTTCTTGTCATTCAGACTTTAATTTTTTCCTCACAAATTTTCACAGCCACAGCACCATGTATTTTATCACACACCCAGGTCCCACATTACACACTCAATGCCTTACCTATATTTTATCTTGACATGTTTCTAGATCTACTAATTAGGATTTAATTCTACTTTGGTTGGGTTTAAAAGTAAAACTCATCTGTTGACTTCTTGCTCTTGACATACAACTGTATCAGACTGTTCAAACAATGGATTGAGCAAGAAATTATCAAACCAACAACTTCACCACACCATTATTTCACCAATAAAGAGAAAAGAAAAACAATCTCACTGTCAAAAGGTGTATTTTATAGATTACACGTCTTTGCATGAACTTTTTCCCTGTTAAAAACCCTAACCCAAGTGACAAAACCATCCATATGGACCAACCTCTATGATGTCTCTCTTTTTCTACCAACTTCTTGACATTATAATCTTTGAACATGTAAATGTCTTAAAAATAAAACCCAAATGATTGAACAGAGCACAGTTCCACAAGCAATTATGTTTTTGATTTATCAAAATTTTGATTTGGGTGTGGTTGGTTTGTGATCAGAATTGATATTTGTGTTTGCTGTTCCTAACTTTTTCTAATCATCATTGCTTGGCAAGTCAAAAAGGTAAACAGAATTGCCATTATAAGTTTCTTTTCTTCTCCTGTTCTTAGTTTTGTTTGAGATGCAAGTTAGGTCTAATCTAATTTGTCTTGGGTTTAGTCACATTAGACTAGTGACTGCTTTCTAAATTATTTTGCCCCTTTTTGACTAATCTATAACTACTTGGAAAAGAGAGAAGCGTCTACTGGCACAAGTTAAAGTTTACTTTTCCTTTTTATAAACATATATATATATATTGATATGTATAAATAAAAAGATTTGGTTCGGATTTTTAATCTATTATAACTATGTAAATTAAAAAATTTAATCGATACAGAATGTTCTTTTATTCTAAAAACACAATAAACATATTAAAATTTATTTTAACGTACATCGGAATTTACTTTGATGTATATCAAGATGTCTTATCTAATAATTTTTATAGAACAGATTCACGTATTGAAAAAAATTGAGTAAACGATGAATTAGATTTTATGAAAAGAAAAAATAAGCAAATCTCTAGATTCATTTGTTTCAACATGCATTGGAAATGCCTCTTGGATGTAAGAATGAATTTTGTCAAAAACAAAACCAAAAAAGGATGGTTTAAGAGAAAAGTAGATAAGAGAGAAAAGAAAATTTGATGGTATCTTGAGGTAGATATGACAATGGGCCCTTTTGGTTTGGAGTACAAAATAAATATATATATACATATAATATTTTTATGGAAAAGTATTGTTAGAAAAACATAATCTATGAAAATTTAAACACCACACATTTTATTTTATTTCTATTTCATTTCAATTTTATATTTATCCCATCTCATTCAACCTTGATTTTTTTTTTTTGGAAGGGATTGTTACTTAAAAAAGAATTCTTTTGACACGAAAATAGTCGCCAGTTTAAATTAAAAAAATTAAATTTTTATTCAAAGGTACGGTGAAAATTAGCATACGAATTATATCATAATTCTATGTATCGAGATTAGTACGAAGATTAAAGGTAAGATTTAGATGAATTAAATAGAAATTAAAGTAACAAAAATTGTATGTGATTAGTATATTAGTGGGTCGTTTAATTTATCGAGTGAAATATCCATTTAATGTAAATATTATAAATTTGTAACAAAATTGAGAATATTTATTAGGTGGAATGAGGTAGGAGTGGAATACCCATTTATAGAAAATAGAATTAACTTTTAATAAGATTCAAGATCAATCTATGTTATTTGACCTACTAATTATTGATTACAATCTCAATTTTACATATATATATATATATATACATATATATGTCAAATGGGTTAGGTTAGCTAGTACAAAATTACTTTAGGCTAATAATATTGCATTTTTTGGAGCTCAATTTAGTTACTTGAGTTATGAGGTTTTCTTCCATCCATTCTATTTGATTCATTTCAAGATTCGATATAATTTTAAAATAAAAATAAAAATTAATAAAGTAATAATTAATAACCATAAAAAAAATAATCAATATTTATAAAAAATAAAAAATACAAATTAAGTGACTTACAACCTAATTCGAATTCATCCCGTTTAATCTGACAGAGTAATAGTATATAAGAAATTATAAGTCACAAAAAACGCGTTCATTTTCAGAACCTAAAAATTAAAATCTTGCTCCTTAATCGTAGTAAGTGTTAAAAAGAATAATATGTTATTTTCGTAAAAATAAGATTTACACGTAGACAAGAAATTACGTAATTCTTAAAAAATAAAATAAACATCATACACGGTAAATCAAAATTACTATTCTTAATTGACGAAAAAGAAATAGCAAATATGCTCAAGATCTCTTCACAACTCATTGCATACTTTGGTGTAAGATCAAATGGAAACTACTTATAGCAACCATTTTATAAAATCTATCTTACACACATCTCAAATCAAACTTGTTTTATACACTTCAATATTTAACTTGTCTTAAACTCTACATCCTCACACAAAAGCTTTTCTTACACATTACTATAGAACGATAAAATCTTATTAAGAAATTTCTCTCCTCTAATGATTTTTCATTCGAACTCCGAAATTTTTCTCTCAAAACATCGAAGTCTTGCTCTCAGATATTTTCTAAGTTTTTTTTCTTTTTTTCTTTTAGAAAACTTATCGAAGAAAATGAAATTTTGTGATAATACATTTGATCTTAATCCCACAAGTAACAAAGGATGTGGTTTGATTCGATAGAAAATGAAGAATCTTTAATCAAAATAATAGGTAAATCGTTAATTTGGTATTGAACAAAAATCAAGAGAGAGAATTAAAAAAGAAAATTCCAAGTATGAAAAAGAAGAAGCAGAAGAGGCAACATATACATATATATATATATATATGTAGGGATAATAACTAGTGATGATATTAACATTAAGAAGATAGATGCATGATGACACTAAGAAAGATAGCATGCAGTCTGTGTTTTCAAATAAAATAGGCAAACTAACCTACATATTTTTATCAGTGTGTATATATATGCATGTATAAATGTATAATTAATCAAAAATCACTTAACAAATTGAAACAATCACCTTAAACATGTACAACCAAGTCATTAATATGAATGAATTAACAATGACCAGAAACTAATGCATGGCCAAGTAGAAAGATATATATATATATATATATATATTGTAGGTTTAATTTGATGACTCAAGGACTATGGCCTGTACATTATTATTAATGCATGAATAAAAGTTACCAAAACATGTGAAACACATAAACAGACAAACCATTCTCTTTTCTCTGTTCCAAATCTTCTTCTCCCTAATTATTTATACCTAAAGTCCTATTAGATTCCAAAAACAAGTACTTTGTTTCCTGTTTCCCAACCTGATTTTCAACATGAGAATCACAACCATTCTAAAAACAAAAACAAGATGATAAAAAATTTTACATATATATAGCAGATCATGTTCATAATATTGTCCTCTTCCCTATCATTAATCTGTCTGCATGATGCAACTTCAAGTTTCATTATTTTCAGATTATCATAATTTCATTGTCTTCTCCAGGCAGCACCAAGCAGCAGCCATGGTGGGATGGGTGTAAATATAGTTACAGCTGCTGATCTGCATATATATATATATATATATATGTGTATGTGTATATATGACAAGTTCAACCAGATCTGACCCACCTCAAATTCTCAGTTTTTCACATGTAAATCTGACCCTTATGGTTGATTTATTCATTTATTTTTTACATGTAAAGTTGACACACAAAATGCTAATACCTGACCCACCAGCAGATTAGATTTAGTTTGGCAAGGACAAAGAAGATGTTATGATGAATTCTGAAGATAGAAAAAGAAGAAGCAGAAGAGGCAAATTTAAAGCTCACTTTTATGCTGTCCCTCTCTTTGTCTCCCTCTCCATTTTCTTCATATCATAACATGCATACAGCTGAAAAAATAAAAGTTATACACAAGTTGTATATTTATAAACATATGTATATATAGATATCTTGTATTCTTTGCAACTTGCTCCAAGAAAAGACACTTAAAAGAAATCAACTCCTCCCCAATTTCCAAGAAGTTGAATATAACAGCTAGACCAAAAAGATGAAGGAAGACCCACTTTTGCAGTCAGATTTTCATATTAAACAAAACACTAATCCATGGAAACATGTCAGAAACATGGAGATTAAAAGATCTTGAAGACTACAGTGAAATCTGTTTTGTGTGTGTGGTATATATATATATATATATTTCATTACCTATTACTCTTGCTGCTTCTAACTTATCATGTGCCATTTCTTCATTCATGATCTTGGCCTCTTCTTACACATATGATATGTGAAGCGGCTGCAAAATGAATCTTGATCATGATCTCACATCATTAACGAAATTAAGCTCTTAGCTAAGTTGGGGGGAATGAAGCCTGGTCCGAAATCATCCAAGAAACGATCTCGAACCTTCACATGAATGATCTCGAACCAGACGACATTCCCCTCAACTGTTGATTCATATGTGTGTGTGTGTATATATATATATACATACATGAGAGAGAGTGAGAGAGCGAAAGAGGAAGAAGAAGAGAGAAAAAGAGCACAAGGGGAAGAGACATAAAGAGATATTAGCAATTGAGTTTTTATGATTTGGCCATGCATTATTTTTTCATGGGGTCCTTATATATCTATATAGTGATGAGGAGAGATTGTCTGATTGGTCACATGACTTGGAGTCCACTTTCTACACCTCCCTCACAATCTACTTAATTGCTTTTCACACTTCGATGGAGCTTAAGGGTAAATTAAAAAAAAATATATACTAATCTGAAAAATATTCCAACAAAAAATTGAATTTTAAGATGAACAAGTTAACCCACTTTCCTTTTTCCTCCGTCATCAATACAGGTTTCTATCAGAAACAATGAAGTCAACCAAAAAAACTGGCATCTTCTTAAATTACCCTCTGAGTTAATTACCCTAAATTTCAACCCAAGAATATTATATATACCTACAGAATACCCAGTAAGCCATATTGCTTAATAATTGACAGTAACTAATGAGATAATTAGTGGGTTTGATTAGTCTAGCCTTGTCATTTATCTCTGTAGTGAAGCAAAGGATATGTCTTTTGCTTGCCACTAAGGTAAAGGGGATATATGATGGAGAGGTAGCAAGATTTCAGAATTGTGAAGCTTAAATTCCAAGCTTAACCTGTTAAAAGTCATATGTTATATTGTACTAATACATGAATAAAAAGAAGAAAAAGAGTAATGAGAGAAAGCAAAAGTTAAATGTAAAAGTTTTTTTTGTGTGCTTAATGACCTGCCAATTTTTGTCTTTACCTTCTAATTTATGTTTAATCACTGGTTTTTTTTATTGGATTACAACTTTTTTATTTCTATTTGCTTTGAAATTAATTAATGGAGGATTATGATATTAATTTCAGTACTTGCATACTTCCATTTCTGTTCATTTCCTTT